GCAAACCACGCTTTACATTGAACCTTGAAAAAAAGAGACTAACCGGAATCCACTGAATGATTTGCTGTTACTCCACCTTCTTCGGCACAATATACAGCATCTTGGCCGGATGCATGTGAAACATAGAGTCTCTGAGTCAGTTCCGTATCATCGTCACCAACACCACGATCCACAACAGAGTCTTGAATGCAGGCTACATTTTCACGAGTGTTCTGCATGCTCCTTTGGAACTGAATAAATAAACAAAGAATATATTTAGATTTATGAGGGATCATTGAAGTACAAAGGAATTTTCTCAAAGAAGATTCTATTTTAGTGTGAACAACCATTCATTGTGCACCTTTGTATGTCAGTTTTGGCTATTGTCTCATGACTGACAATTTCAATGAAGGGGTAGAAGAAAGACAGAAAAGCTAAAAGTAGAACCGAAGAGAAACTGGAAGATTCCAATAGACTAGGGTTGCAAACAAATTGAGAAAATGCATGAGCGCCACTGTTTGTGGCACTCAACCATATTGCTCAGTGTCTCTAACCATTGATTACAACGATCCTGAAGTCCGTATCCATAGAACCTGACGTGAACCATATGACCGAGTCTCCCGGTCGAGGTTAACAAACCTTTATGCTATGTCTGAGTTTGACCATCCACTATCTGCAAAACTTCGCGACCGGCGGAAACCTATTTGGGGACAGGCGTAACACATTCCCCAAACAGTGCAATCCATGGAGGTCGACTCCGTGCTTTAGTGGATGACCCCGATCATCCAAAACTCTGAGCTTCACCTCGGCATTGTTTGACTGGTTTCCCCACCAGACTCGTGCAATGCTGTGTAAACAACGAAGTTCGAACACTGACAGTCTATCTTTATCTTGTTTTCGTAATGACCAGGTTCCTGCGCAGTACAGCAGCACTGGCCGAACTGCTGCAGCACATGCTCTACCCTTTACAGACAGCCGGATATCACGTCGGCGCCACAGATGTTTCAAGTTGGCAAATGCCAACCGAGCCTTCTCTATGCGCGATGACACTCCATCTGTGATCCGTCAGCCAGGTTGGATCTAGCTGCCTAGATAGCAAACCCTTTTTTATTACCTGTACTATTTTTCCTGTTAAGGTGAGGTTGGGGAATGAACCAACCTAATCTTGTAACATTTTTAAACGTTGAGGAGGCAAAACGCATACCAAACGTGGCTAAACTAGCACTTAAACTATCTAGAAAAGCTTTCAACTTGCCTGGATCTTCACTTAGCATCACAAGGTCATCTGCATACTCTAGATCAGACAGTTTACCATCTGGGAGTAAATCGATGCGACTATCCTCGCACGAGGATAGAGCTGTTTTCAAAATCAAATCTATAACAAAATTAAATAGAAAAGGAGAGAGAGGACAACCCCGGAGAATATCACTTTCTGTAGTGAACTCGGGCTCGGCTTCGGCTATCAGTATAAATGGATTGCAAAATAGAAATAAAATTCTCGAGCACATTCCTCAGAGCGAGGTAGCCTCAGAGTTTAGAGCGGTTGACTGAGTGAAATGCCGCTTTCAGATCGAGGAAGATAACAATGGTAAGTCTGCTAAAGGAGTTCCTGTGTTATGGAGTTTGACGAAGAGTGAAGATGCAGCCTAGATCAGGCCAAACCCAGCCTGGTTCTCACGTGTGCACTCTTCACGAGCAGTAGACAACCGACGGAATATAATACCAGCGGGAATTTGAGACAATGTTGCTGTTGTTGATTAAACTGATTCCTTTGTGGTTTTCACAAGAGGATCTTTCACCTTTCTTGTAAATCGGTATGATCACCAATCCACAACATTCAGATAGAACCTCCTCCCTATCCCGCACTGTCCCCAGGAGTTTTGTTCACTCCAAAACCAATGCTGAACCTCCATCTTTAAAATCTGCTAGGAACAGTCCGTCGGGGCCGGAAGCTTTACACCTTTTGAGATAATTTACTTCTCGAGTAACCTCCATTTCAGATATAGGACTGATGCAAACTGGCGTTATTTGCACACTTGAAGCGGATAGAGAGAGGTCTTGTGTCGACGGGGACCAGCTGAACTGTGCCTTAAAATGTTCTACCCAACGTTCAACATGGCATTGCTGAATATGAATCAGTGTGCCGTCAGACTCCTGAATTTCTTCACCGACGGCTACTTTCCTTGGTCCTATAGTCCCAATTAAACGAAAAAGATTGCGACTATTACCAATAGACTCAGCCTTCTGCATCTCTCTACACTTCCATACCTACCACTTCTCGTGGTCATTCCTCAGACTCTTGGGGAGTTGGCGTTTAATTAAGTTTCGCGCTTTGTCGTATTTTTAATCCGAGCGTCCAGCAAAGCGATCGAGGTCCGGGAGATCCATTATTTTTTATTTGACCGTGCGCCACAATTCGCTGTTGTTTTGATGGACATTTGAATCTTTTCCTTGATTGTATTCAGTGTGCACTGAGGGCTCCGGCTGATGGTTGAGCTGAGAGACGATCTGACAATTCCGCTTTGCAACCGTCACTGATACTGTATTGTAGGTATCTGTTTTCAGTAGCTTTTCTACTGTTGTTTATCAAGCGTAGGGAGAATCTCGCTTGTGACAGAGTATGATCCGTGTCTACAAATGTTGACCAGTAGCAGAGGCAATCTTCAATGGATTTTCACCAGCGGTGTTTGATAGTTTGTGGTCGATTGGAGTCTAGCTCTGTGAAGTGGTCTCCATGTAAAGTGGTGCCGCTTTTGTGCTAGAAGTTGGTTCTTGACGGAAACAATCCATGGTCAGCGCGAAGTTGGAGTAGGCGTTTTCCGTTGTCAGCCCAGTTAACTGGGATTGCATGTGAATCACCAAGTAGCCTTTCTGATTCGTCCAATGATGCCACTTGAGCATTAAAATTTCCAGCGACTACCACAATGTCCGTTGATCGAGCACTTTGGAGCAGTTGAGAGAGGTCCTTGTAGGAGTCATCCTTCGTTTCTGGAGAACTGCAATTTGTTGGTGCATACGCGAATACGACGAATAAGCATCGACGGCTCGTTCCGTAAGTGTTGACCTGTACTGAACCACCCAGACGTACAGCGCAGTCTGCTACTAACCGGAATCCAGTGCACGCTCGGCCTTGACACTCAGCGCAATCCCAACACCAGCAACACCCCAAGTAAAACAAACAAAGGCCGTTCCTTTTAAGGGAAAGTTAGGCTGCACTGTGTGTGCATACAATTTCTTCATTTATCTAAAAGCAATTAAGCATACAGATCGGTAGATTAAACCCATTGATTAAGTTTTATAAGAAGTAACTTACTAATTAAAAATTATGGTGGGAACAGGCCTCCAAAAGACTGTTGGGTATTAATTGTTTACTCAATCAGGAGCCGCGGCAAGGTTGCCTGATGAGTGAAAGACTCCAAGTGTACGCTGTCTCTTCAAGTAAGGAGGCCATGGGGACCCTACCAACTACCGCCCAGTCAGTCTCACTGTGTGACTGGTAAAGTGATGGAACAAGTTCTCGCCAAGCGATTTCTGGAACACCTACTGATCAACAATTTTCTCTGTCCGGAGGAAAGTGGATTTCGACCGAAGCGAGCATGTGTATTAAAATTGTTACTTGCTTGGGAGAAGTAAGTTCCCACCAAGACCGCCGGCCAAACATGGACGTGATTTTCATCGAATTCAGTAATGCTTTGACTTTGGAGTCAAAGTCTCCTGTTAGGGTTCCCAAAGAAAAACCCCTTCGTCGGTGTGGGCTGCCGCAAAGTATGTCGTGCCCTGAGGTCTTAGGCACCTGTTTGGAAAACCATCTTTTCCATCCTCTTCGATAAGATCTCGCACGGACGGCTGCTGGAGAAGCTGAAACCTACGAAGTTGGAGGTCTAATGTTGCCTTGAGATAAGAAGTTCCTCGTCCGGCAAAAGTTTGTTGTGAGACTCTCGTTTCTATTCAGTCATTATTGGGGTGTTGCAGGATTCCATTCTGGGCCCAATACTGTTTCTCATTTATATGACTGACTTGATTTTCCGGTTACAATTACCTTTCTTGCTATATGCGGAAGATGTGTCATTGTGGTGAATTATGAGAAAACCGGAGAACCGCCGTTACCTCCAAGAGGGCATGGACAAACTACACCAATGGGTTGATAGGTGATAACTTCCGGTCAATTCGGCGAGGTGTGCACATATGCGTCTGGGACAAGAGCCGTCAGACCTACCTTACCAGCTAAATGACGTCCCGCTGAGTTCGACAGCAACTAAGCGGGATCTAGGAGTCGTGATCTCTTGATCCGTGAAGAGGAAAATGGATACAATAAAAGCACCTTCGGCAGAAGGAGCCTGCTTAATACAATAAATCGGTATTCTGACGATTTGTCAATGGACATGGTGAAACCACTGTATACCCCTGTACGCTTTTCGAACGGGTGCAGCACTACACCACCAAAACAGTCGTAAAACTCCATGGGATCAACTATTCAGGTCGGCTGTTCGCGGTTGGCTTCTAGAGACTCTGCAGTAATTAAATATATCTATGGAAGATTTTTTGTGGCGATCTGGGACCAGAGATACGTGTTGTATTTCTATTACGGGATTGCAACAGGACGCGTAGGCACATGCTATCTCTCCGGAAACTGGAGTCCACCGGACTCCCTTTAATTTTTCACCTTTGAAGGAGGTCGACTATTATTTTCATCGGTCGTGGAGGGCCAGAACGAGGTGCGATTCAAACCTCTCGGCGAGCATTTATTTCAGCAGCTTCTATGGAAAGGTTGTAAATTTGAATGACTTCTGTTGAGGTTCACAGACAGGCAGTTTTCCTTGGCCATGCTTAGACTTGTGCAGCCCGACCGGATTGGACCATTAAATGAAAATTTTAAATCGAACTTTCAAGTTCAAAGAGTTTGACTGTTGCGTCAATTTACGATCTTTGCATCAGCAAATAGCTTCCATAGAGCCACTTCAGTGCTCCTAAGCTTTGAAGGCGGTAGTTGTTTTAAAATGTCATGCAAATACTCTCTTAAGACAAGCTAAAAGTTACAATATGATAAATCGTATTTCAGGCGTTGCGAATCTACTTAGTGTATCTATCAATCATCCGGGGTAGCAACACAGCTGTGTCATGAAACCTAATAGTTTTCCTTCTCATTTCAAGAGTGCTGTTTCAACCACATTTCTTAAAACTGTGGGTAGGGTTCCCATCTTCTTTTCTCCGTGAAACGAGACTCGTGGCGCGAAATGCT